TCCCCACCCCACCACCCCCCCCCCTTCCATCCCCCACCCCCAACTAAATCCACCTACTACCCTCCCCCTTATCAAATTTATGTCTTTACCCCCCCCCCCTTCCCCTCTTCCACCGACTACTGCTTTCTCCCTCTTCGAAATATTTGAAAATCATTACCTGGCGATATTTTGTTGTTGCTGTAACTGACATTGACATCCCTGTCCATCTGGACTAAAATGGGGAGCAGGAATTGTAATAGGTAGTGAATGGGGCTAGTGTAATATTTACCACATCATCCTTCATGTACCAGTACAACTACTAAAATAATGTCACTGCTATCTGTGTTACCATCGGAGTAGACAGAGAGTCGTGAGCCAGAAGATTTGGTTCCGCATGGCTAGTGCTGTCGCCACAGACTGGTCAGGTTAGGATGTATAAATTCACTTGCCGACAGAAGAACGCCATAACCTTACCGGCGGTCTTCACATGAGAGCACTATGGTGTAACAGCCCAACCACAACTATTACTACTGCTGCTACTTTAAGTGGGTAAAGCAGTTACTGTGACTTAAAGCTCTCTCAGTAAATAGTTTGCCCCCCCCCCCCCCCCCCCCCCCCCCCCCCAAATTCACCGACAACTCTTTCCCTCATTGAAGTAGTTGGGAGGGGAAAAAAAAAACACTTGAAAAGCAAATGAACACAGCAACAACAACAAAAAAAAAAACAAAAAAAAAAAAACTATAATTAGGAAATGAACGCCATGGTAAACAGCACAGCTTAAAATTCTAACGCAGATGAAATAAATAAATCTAAATGAAAATAAATGAAAATCTATAAAAATTTCAGCGTAACCATGCAATCGGAAAGTTTAATAATGCAATCATAAGTATGCGAAATGGTCAAATGTAATTATCAAATGGTTTAGCCATTTACTTGTCTTTTTTTTTTTTTTTTTAAGGCAACATGGCTAGTGCTGTCACCACGACAGAGCAGATGAGGATATTATTTTAGTCCGGGGTAAAAAAAAAATAACTACTGCGGATTCGAACCCAGGTCTCCCGCACAGGAACCCAGTGTTCTAACCATTCGACCATGCAAAGATGCGCATTTCTGTAGACAGCTCTCTCTGAGGTCAGCGTTTTCTAGACAGCTTTTTCAAAGGTCCGCGGTTTTGAGACAGCTGTCTCGGAGTTCCGCATTTTTTGCAGCTGTCTCAAAGATGCGGATTTCGGTAAACAGCACTCTCTGAGTACCTATTTTTTAGACAGCTGTCTCAGAGGTCCGCGTTTTTTAGACAGCTGGCTCAGAGGTCCACGTTTTCTTTAGACAGCTGTCTCGGAGGTCCGCATTTTTTAGACAGCAATCTCAGAGGTCCAGATTTTTAAAGACAGCTCTCTTGGAGGTCCGCGTTTTTTTAGACAGCTGTCTCAGAGGTGCGAGTTTTTTTTTTTTTTTTTTTTTCAGCTGTCTCAAAGATGCGCATTTTTGTAGCTAGCTCTCTCTGAGGTAAAGTTTTCTAGACAGCTTTCTCAGAGGTCCGCATTTTTAGACAGGTTTCTCGGAGGTCCGCGTGTTTTTTTTACAGCTGTCTCGGAGGTCCGCATTTTTTTCAGCTGTCTCGTAGGTCCGCGTTTTTTTTAACAGCTGTCCCAGAGGTCTGATTTTTTTTTTAAAACAGCATTCTAGGAGGTCCTTATTTTTAACAGCTGTCTCAAAGGTCCGCGTTTTTTTTTTTACAGCTGTCTCAAAGATCCGCATTTCTGTAGGCAGCTCTCTCTTAGGGCAGCGTTTTCCATACATCTTTCTCGGAGGTCCGCGTTTTTTTTCTAGACAGCTGTCTCTGGGATCCGCATTTTTTCAGCAGTCCCGGAGGTCCTAATTTTTTTTTAAAGTTGTTTCTAATGTCCGCATTTATTTTTTAGAAAGCTGTCTCAGAGGTCCGCATTTTTGTAGACAACTCTCTTAAAGGTCTGGGTTTTTTTACAGCTGTCTCAGAGGTCCTCATTTTTTTTAAGTTGTCTCAGAGGTCAGCATTTCTTCAGACAACTTTCAAATAGGTCCGCATTTTTTGTAGACAGCTCTTTGTGAGGTCTGGGTTTTTTACAGCTGTCCAGAAGGTCCAGGTTTTTTTTTTAAACAGCTGTCTCGGAGGTCTATATTTTTTAATCAGATGTCTCGAAGGTCCGCGTCTGTTTTAAACAGCTGTCTCGGAGGTCTGCAGTTTTTAGACAGCAGTCGGGTGTCCGCGTTTTTTTACAGCTGTCTCGGAGGTCCGCGTTTTTTTTTTCAACAGCTGTCTCAGAGGTCCTCATTCTTTTTAGCTGTCTCAAAGATGCGCATTACTGTAGACAGCTCTCTCTGAGGTCCAGTTTTCTAGATAGCTATCTCGGAGGTCCGCATTTTAGACAGCTGTCTCGGAGGTCTGAGTGTGTTTTTTTTTTACAACTGTCTCAGATGTCCGCATTTTTGAGACAGCTGTCACTGAGGTCCGCGTTTTTTACAGCTGTCTGGGTGGTCCGCATTTTTTAGACAACTGACTCGGAGGTCCGTGTATTTTTCGGTTCAGCTGTTTCAGAGTACCATATTTTTTTAGACAGCTTTCTCGGAGGTCTGCGCTTTTTCACAGCTGTCTCAGAGATCCGCATTTCTGTAGACAGCTCTCTGTGTGGTCAGCGTTTTATAGAGAGCTTTCTCAGAGGTTTTTTAGACAGCTGTCTCGGAGGTCCGCGTTTCTTACAGCTGTCTCAAAGGTCCGCAGTTTTATAGACAGCTGTCTCAGAGGTTCGCTTTTCTAGACAGCTGTCTTGAAGGTCCGCATTTTTGAAGACAGCTCTCTTGGCGGTCTGCCATTTTTACAGCTGTTTTGAAGGTCGGCGTTTTTTTACAGCTGTCTTGGAGGTATGCATTTTTTTAGACAGCTGTCTCAGTAATCCGCGTTTTTTAGACAGCTGTCTTGGAGGTCCACGTTTTTTTAGACAGCTGTCTTGGAGGTCCGCGTTTCTGAAATATGTGCATCAGATAAACAATTATCCCCATCAACTTGTCGCATCAATTAAACTGTCTCAATGGCTCTTTTTCTGAGTTTTAAAAATAATTTAATGTTAGCATTTTGCTGCATGCTGATTTCGTCACTATGCACATCTAACTAGGTCAATAGAATGGCCACTTGTTTGTTGTCTGCTTATCAAGCAGCAATGACAAGTTAGAAAATCATAGGTGAATGTTACCTCTTTGAATTCAATCCTGTGAAGCATAGATGACTTTTTTGTCCTAGCCATAACCACATCAGTCTCATTACTTGATTGTCGGATGTTTCCGCGGGTAATGGCAGACGTAGGCTATGTCGGATACAAACTCCGTAGCTTCTTGTTGGTCGCATAGACAAGTATAAAGTAGTTTATCTTAACAGTGTAGATGTGATACTGGATGTTCCTCTGTCCATCGATAACACGAGACTGTGTGGCATCTCTCAGTTTTCACGGGCTTGGGACCGTCACGTGTCACCACATAGACCACGTGACCTGATTAAAAAGATTTGAACTCATAACTGGTTCAGATTTCATCGCCATGTTGGGTTAGGTTAGTAATGACATGCACGTAATTGGTTAGTGAACAAACTAAACTAGTGTTAATAATAATTAAACATGCAACACCAATGTTTAGACACACGAAAGTTAGATCAGTAAAACAGGCTAGCTGCTTTCCGTATGCGTGTCTGTGCCTGTGTATATAGAGATGAAAAAAAAAGCACGTCATTGAACACGAGCCTAAGATCCCATTTAAGCGCTTACCAGCCTAGCATCGTTTTTTTTTTTTTTTAATACACGCGCAGACACTAGATTGTTCAACGTTGAACTTTGCTCTAATGTCGACACAACCTAAAATGGATAAAGGTAAAATCGTGTGTGAAATAAAGGCGGCTGTGTGTTATTAAATACTTCAACGATTTCACGTCGATTGGTTAAGAAACAAGAATCTGGAGTAAACCGTAAACAGAGATGGTTCCGGCACAACTTTAAGTAAAAACATGAAAGGCTGTGGAGAACCAAATGTAATGTCTATCAGTAGATGGGGGAAACACTCATTGTCTACAAATGTGAATTGTGTAAATTTACCGTGTTTGTCAAAAGCTAACATTTGTGAGCGGTTTTGAAGACAAGAGTTAGTAAAATTAAATACTCTAATTAATGGAGATGATTTTGTTTACATTAGTACATGACTCTTTATTACTTATTCATTGACGATTTATTACAAGAAATAATAATTACAATTAACTGTTAAACTACACTATGTGGTAAGATCAATAATGAAGAATTAAATATAATAGTAAAAGGAAACCCTTGGCACTTTAAAACTAAACTAATTATGTGTTTGTATAGTGTAACTGCTGACTGTAGATATTTAAACACTAATTGTTAATTTACTCTGCCACATTTAATTACAAATATATATATATATATATATATATATATATATATATATATATATATATATATATATATATATATATATATATATATATATATATATATATATATATATATATATATATATATATATATAATAGGTAAATTTACACAATATTTTTAAACGTTTTTAAATGTACATTATTGTTATTTAATTATCACTTTATCACAAAAATAGGTTACCTTCAGTTAGACTGAATAGAAAAGTTCGGCAAATTTAACAAAGTCTTACAAATTCATTAGTTGAACAACAGCCAAATTTGAATTAGTAATAATTAAAACTGTCTAGAAAATTATGATTAACTCATTAGGTAAACACTTAAATGTTAAATATTAAAATAAAATGCATACTTACAGCAATGGAAATGCATACTTACAGACTGTCATAGAAATGCATACTTACAGACTGTCATAGAAATGCATACTTACAGACTGTCATAGAAATGCATACTTACAGACTGTCATAGAAATGCATACTTACAGACTGTCATAGAAATGCATACTTACAGACTGTCATAGAAATGCATACTTACAGACTGTCATAGAAATGCATACTTACAGACTGTCAATGAGGTCCCTGTGAACATCATGCTCGTGAAGTTCTGCCAGTATCGATGCCGCTGAATATCTTAATGCTGGGTCATATTCCATCGTGGTATACAGACACCAGCCTTGAGTATCAGGAGCAACCTCGTCTGAAACGATGACCACATGCGTGTCGCCTGTTATGCTGACTCTGAGAGTGCTCTGGAACAGTAGTTATCTTCATGGTCATGCTTGACGTAGCTGTCTTGTTAGCTTCTTTTGTGCTGTGTATCCCAGTGCTGACCTTGACCGATCTTGACGGACCCATCTGTGTACATGGTGACGTCTCCTGGGCGTCGGTTGCAGGTGTCTGAAACCGGCAGTGCCTTCCTACTATTTTGACAACGTTAGATAAGTCACGTATGTCTTCTGATGTCTCCGTCCATCGTCTATGTCGCATACTTGCTGGATAAGATTTTCAGCCTTGGCCATCCAGAAGCCTTTTCTTTCATTGTCAGTTATGCAGTGGGTGGCTGATGTCACGTACGCCTTAGAATTTGCCATATTATGTCTGGTGGTCAACTTTGGTATCCCAGGACAGGCCTCGTGGATGGCACGAGTATGAGTCTCATGGCCTCATATTGTACCCTGACCAGTCTTTCTGGCTGGATTCTGTTGCCTATGAGGAAGTCTAGACCGTAGTCGTTAACAATACAAGCCACTGATTTAGGAAGGAAAGAGTGTGTACTGACAAGCTGGTTATCAAGTACAAACATATTATGGAGGCTATCAAGGGGTTAACCTTGTGCTCTGGTTTACTGACAATACTCACTGAGTCTGCCTAATTCTCACTGTCGCGTTGTTTAAATTTCATTTCTGTTTCTTCCTCGTTGGTACACGACATTTTTCTGCATCGACCTACTAAATGTGCACTGGTGACCACTGATATGTACATACTGAAAAGAACAGATGACAATGCTGACACCAGACGTGGGACCTCGAGGCGCGTTTCTTTGACTCGAGTGTGACCCAAGTTAAGGATTTGCGACTCGACTTGGGGATTGTCCATCGACTCGCTACTCGACTTGTGACTTGTAGCTTCGACTGATTGGTGTGACTCGTTCTAACGTACGGCCACTGTGAGCTTTTGGTGATCAGTGTCCTAATTTAAAATGTCTTTACATAAAACGAGACAGAATAAATCATGTTTCGAGTTCTCAAGTTTTCTTATTAGACTGTTAGTTTAATCCACAAGTACTGCCCTATGCACGACTTGGAGATAGACTGACACCTGAAGTGACTTACCTTAGGACACGAAATGGAAACATTCCTTACGATCTGATACTTGACTGTGTGTCAGTTACTTCTGAGGAGTCCAAGCTCAACGCATTAGCCCAACCTCTAGTGATTGCTGGGACATGCCCATTAAGAGATATGGATGCCCTTGCAAAGAAAACTGTTGACCTTTTTCGTCTATATGTGCATAATCAACAGCAATCTGGCGAGCGTATTCTATATGACACTGCTATGCTCAACTTCGAAGTCAAAAGCGGCTGTAGCAGATTCCATTCCTACTGAAAGGGCTAATAGGTTTCATTAGCAAATACTGGAACACTGCACCGTCTACCTCTACCTGGTCGGTGCCCACCAAGTGTAGGTGCTAAAAGACCACTTGAGTTTGGATCAAAGTTCTGGCCACTATTTTTATGTTAGTTTCTCCACCGTCTTAAGCCGCCGTGATGTAGCGATTAGACTTTCGCCTGCGGATTGAAAGATCTTGGCTTCAGTTCCTCACTCCGTAGAAGTAAAATCGACCGGCCTGACCACGTGAGCTACCGAGTAACGACTGGTCTATAAGATGAAGATCTAGCCCTATATGCCCAATGCATCTTAAGTCATAGAAAAGGGAGCTATACTTTTATTTTACTTTCCCCATATGTTCCAGAGAGAAATGATTCTGTAGTCATTTATATTTGCATGATCTTTCCCAGGCTTTGAACCGGTGCTGATATAGCTATGGAGCCAGCATCAGGGACAACCCAGCTTTTTGTGTTGTGATAAAATGCCCTAGATAGTTTTCTTGTGTCTGTCCTATCGAGTCTTTTTAAGTCGCTTTATGTTGCACTATCAGGACCTAGAGATGTGGCTGGACAGGTCTTTAATGTAGCTCTGATGCTTGCAGCAGTGATGTACATTGTGCCAACTTATCCGCTCATTTCAGCCATGTGCATCTCATGTACTGATTTATCTGCTTTCTCTCATCCAAGTCTGTAGTTTTGGCTGCAGAAGACATCTATACATGCGTACATAGCCTTTATCTTCTCAGATTTTAGGATCACCTCACTGTCTGCCTCAAGTTCAGGCATATTACGCAATTGTGTGCCGGCGTTTATACACGGCTCAGTTGCCATAAGGTTTTAAGACATTTTTTTCACTATTTCATTGCAAAACTTCTCAAACGTTGAGTGCTTAGCCTCCCTTTCAATGTGTTCAATGCTTTCAGTGAGTCAATATTTCGTTCATCGTGTGCTTGTGAGCATCAAATAGTCTCGAAGCGTTTCTCTGTCCCTAGATTGGCGACGCCAGGTGTCCACGACGTCGGTTGTTGATGGACATCTGTTTTCTTCCCCGGTGTTCTGCTTACCCTGTCTCGTAGACGTCCAGTTACATTAGTCTGGTGTACCCTGTCTCGTAGACGTCCAGTTACATTAGTCTGGTGTACCCTGTCTCGTAGACGTCCAGTTACATTAGTCTGGTGTACCCTGTAATTAAAAATGACGTTTAGTTTCTGGTACCTTGTACATGCTGTTTTCTTGACCACAATCTTGCATGGAAGCTGGTCACTTCCATGATGTTCCACTACACTGGCAGAGAGCACTCATGCTTTGAGGAGATCAGAAGGAGATCAAGGTAACTATGTGTGTCGCCTTCACTGACGGGAATTATGATGTGTTTGCCGTTATTTAAGCAGATCGACGCTGTACGTTTCAGTGCCTCCACTCAAGCTAGTTTTCTCGTTTCACAAAACACTTTCATTTCCCAGAGATAAATATCTGAAGGTACCCGGGGGAAGGCGATAAAACAAGGTCCGACAATTAAGTGATGAGACTAATTCCATAACAATTAAAATAATCAACAGTTGAAGATATAATCTGTATTTTATTCAAAGTAAGCCCTGTGTACATTAATGCAGAAAATAGCACGATCTAACAACACTGGAACGAGCTCTGTAGTTCTGTTGTTATGACCCTTTAAATCAATGTTACGGCCTTTTGGATGTCATCATTATCGTTATAGAAGCGTTCATTCAAAGGTAACTTTCATTTAGGGAATAATCAATAATCACAGACAAATGTGGGGAGCAGTGTGGATGGTTGAGAACACACACTTGTTTTAGGGCCAAACATTCCTTTACAAATACCACCCGGTGAGCCGGTGCATTGTTGTGTAGAAGAAAAAAATAATTGCCCAGTGTTGAATATTGTGGTTGGACTAAGAATAATTTTCAATAGACGTTTTAAAATACTTGAATAAACTGTGGCTGTGATAGTCTGTCCCTCTGAAATAAATTCGGTGTGAATAACGTCTTTGCTGCACACCAAAATTGTCTTCACTTTTGACTTTTGAAGACTGATTTTGTTTGCCTTATTGTGATGATGATGACTTCGACTGAGAACTTTGGCGTTTGATTGTGGGATCATAGCGAAAAAACCATGTTTCATTCTGTGCAACAATCAAATTTAAGAAATGTGTATTTCTGTGAGACGTATTGATGATGCCTTTTGCATGCTCAACACGCTGATGTTTTTGGTCATCAGACAAGGAATGTGGTACAAAGCGGCAAGTAACTTTTGTTCTTGCCCTAATCTTGCACTAACATTTTACGAATGATCTCTCTATTAACATCACATTCATCCGCATAGTCAAACAACGATTCTCTTGTTTTCCGTTCTCTAACTTTTGCAATGAGTTTCTCATTACGGACAGAAACTGGGCGTCCAGGTATATTTGCAGTAGTAATCATTTCGACGCCAATTTTGAATGGTGAAAACCACCTGAAATATGTGCATCCGATAAACAATTATCCCCATCAACTTGTGGCATCAATTCAACTGTCTCAATGTTAGTATTTTGCTGCATGCTGATTTAGTCACAATGCACATCTAACTAGGTCAATAAAATGGCCACTTGTTTGTTGTCTGCTTATCAAACAGCAATGACAAGTTAGAAGATCATAGGTGAATGTTGCCTCTTTGAATTCAATCCTGTGAAGCATAGATGGCTTTTTTGTCCAAGCCATAACAACATTACTCTCATTACTTGAATGTCGGATGTTTCAGCGGGTAATGGCAGACGTAGGCTATGTCGGATACAAACTCCGTAGCTTCTAGATTGTCACAAAGACAAGTATAAATTAGTTTATCTTAACAGTGTAGTTGTGATACTGGATGTTCCTCTGTCCATCGATAACACGAGACTGTGTGGCATCTCTTCCCTCTCAGTTTTCACGGGCTTGGGACCGTCACGTGTCACCACATAGACCACGTGGCCTGATTAAAAAGATTTTAACTCACAACTGGTTCAGATGGCATTGCCATGTTGGGTTAGGTTAGTAATGACATGCACGTAATTGGTTAGTGAACAAACTAAACTAGTGTTAATAATAATTAAACATGCAACACCAATGTTTATATACACAAAAGTTAGATCAGTAAAGCAGACTGGCTGCTTCCCGTGTGCGTGTTTGTGCCTGTGTATATATAGAGATAAAAAAAAAAAAAAACAATCACGTAATTGAACACGTGATTAAGATCCCATTTGAGCGCTGACTGGCCTAACCAACGTTATTTTTTTAATCCAAGCGCAGACAATAGATTGTTTAATGTTGAACTTTGCTCTAATGTAGAGACACAACCTAAAATGGATAAAGGTAAAATCGTGTGTGAAGTAAAGGCGGCCGTGTGTTATTAAATACTTTAACGATTTCATGTCGATTGGTTTAAGAAACAAGAATCTGGAGTAAACAGTAAACAGAGATGGCTCCGATGCAAGTTGAAGTAAAAACATGAAAGGCTGTGGAGAACCAAATGTAATGTCTATCAGTAGATGGGGCAAACACTCATTGTCTACAATTGTAAACTCAGTAAATTGTTTCTTTCGTGTTTGTAAAAAGCTAATATTTGTGAGCGGTTTTGAAAACAAGAGTAGGTAAAATAAAATACTCCAGTTAATGGAGGTGATTTTGTTTACATTAGTACATGACTCTTTATTGCTTATTCATTTACGATTTATTACAAGAAATAATAATTACAATTAGCTGTTAAACTACACTATGTGGTAAGATCATTAATGAAGAATTTAATATAAAAGTATACGGAAATCCTCGGTACTTTAAAACTAAACTAATTATGTGTTTGTATAGTGTAGCTGCTGACTGTAGATATTTAAACACTAATTGTTAATTTACTCTGCATCATTTAATTAACAAACAAAAAACAAAAAAACAAAAAAAAACAAAAAAAAAATAGGTAAATTTACAGTTTTCTTTTAACGTGTTTAAATGTACATTAATGTTATTTAATTATCACTTTATCACGAGAATAGGTTACCTTCACTTTGGCTGAATAGCAACGTTCGGCTAATTTAACAAAGTCTTAGAACTTCATTAGTTGAACAACAGCCAAATTATAATTAGTAATAATTAAAACTGTCTAGAAAATTATGATTAACTTATTAGGTAAACACTTAAATGTTAAATATTATAATAAAATGCATACTTACAGCAATGGAAATGCATACTTACAGACTGTCATAGAAATGCATACTTACAGACTGTCATAGAAATGTATACTTACAGACTGTCATAGAAATGCATACTTACAGACTGTCATAGAAATGCATACTTACAGACTGCCATAGAAATGCATACTTACAGACTGTCATAGAAATGCATACTTACAGACTGTCATAGAAATGCATACTTACAGACTGCCATAGAAATGCATACTTACAGACTGTCATAGAAATGCATACTTACAGACTGTCATAGAAATGCATACTTACAGACTGTCATAGAAATGCATACTTACAGACTGTCATAGAAATGCATACTTACAGACTGTCATATAAATGCATACTTACAGACTGTCATAGAAATGCATACTTACAGACTGTCATGGAAATGCATACTTACAGGCTGTCAATGAGGTCCCTGTGAACATCATGCTCGTAAAGTTCGGCCAGTATCGATGCCGCTGAATATCTTAATGCTGGGTCATATTCCATCGTGGTATACAGACACCAGCCTTGAGTATCAGGAGCAACCTCGAAATAATTGGGGTCATCAAGAAGCTCGTACATGTTGCCTATGATTGGTTCTGCCGAAAACATCATGCACCAGAGAGACACACCAAGCGAGTACATGTCCAGCTTGTAAGGATCCACAAACTCATAACAGTCTATTTCTGGAGCAGAGAAACACCCGGTGCCACAAATGTCTTTCGTACAGACCAGAGTGTCGCCTGGTGGAATGAAAAACGATAATCCAAAATCTCCAAGAACTGGGTCATTATTAGCATTGATGTAAATATTATCAGGTTTGATGTCGCTGTGTACTATTCTCAGTTTATCATTGAGATAACGCACAGCACACGCCATCTGGACGAAGTACTTGACACACAACTCTGGGGTCATGGTGTCTAGATGAAAGGCCAGTGTTCCGTTAGGACAGTAGTGAGTACAGATGGCCAAGTAGTCAGGACAGCGGGCAGATATCGTATGTTTGATGATATGTGGATGAGACAGTCCTTGTAAAATGTTGACTTCTCTATCAAACAAAATTGTATTCGCAAGCCCTCCATCAGCAGTTAGCAATGACAAAATCTTCACTGCTCTCTTATGGTTAGGAGACAGAAGCGAGGTTGCTAACACAACGTCTCCACTCATTCCACTGCCCAAAACTGGACCACGAGCGAACCGATATGTGGTAAAGAAATCTCCTGGGAGATTTACCAGCCAAGGTTTCACTGCAGGTAATGCCATTTCTGAACATACACGCAACAGATTTCAGTAAAATATAATATCTAAATGAGAAAATCCACAAGTGAGAATATCCACACGATCTTGCAACCAGCACTTTGGAAAAAAGTTATGGTCAAATGGGACACCAGGTTCAGGCTTATATCCGACAGCCTGTGATTGGTTGATAATTTTCAAAAGCTACTAATTGGGCACTGTATCTATCGGTCGTTATATCTATAAGTGTTTGTTGTTATTGTAGCCACTCCCGCCACAGCCGGCAATGTTTACACGGCTGACACTTTCAAATGGCCGTTAATGAACTGGGCCGATAATCCGACCAGGTGTTAGCTGCTGTCGGTACCTGTGACACGATTTGATGGCTTTGCTTCGTGGCCATCACAGATGGGTCACCACAACAGACCTCGTTTGATATTTTGTCCTGCGTCGACTTTAATATCCTGGCTGGTGGGATGGCTGTTGATAAATATTTGGAGGCTGTCACAACACAGGCTAAGAAATGCACGGTTACGCAGCTGGTATTTCTGATTATGTTGTTGATAGTTGGAAACATTCTTCATTCACATTGAGGAATTAGCAGCTAATGTTAAATATTGACTTTTTTGTAATATTTATCTTTATTGGTTAATTAGCTCGGTTTACTCAACTTTAATCAGGTCGGTTATTTACAACAGTGACTGAAATGGAGCTACTCTTATCATAAGTTATGTCTACGACATTTTGGAAAAAAAAAAAACATTAAGTAGAACAAAATAGGCAGTGGAAACATTCCTGAGAGAAAAAAACAAGAAATGTTTGCCACAGAGAGGACTACTTTGAGAAAATATATACCATGGACATTTTGAAGAAGTATTCCTGAAAATATCAATTCCCTACTTTAAATAACATTGATAGAAAGTATTTCACATAGAAAATACTGTATTCGTCCAGGCAAATGATGATTTCTGACGTCTCTTTAATTCTCAGATACCATTGATATGACGTGCCCTCTTCATGAAAATGGCAGGTGAAAAATTTGAATTACGTGTTGTTTTCTACTACATGTAATAAGGAAAAGCTTACTTTTCTTCTACTCAAAAACAATATGGTTTTGATTACCTGTATGCAAATGCACAAAGAGAACATTAGAGATTTAGATTATTGTTTTGTTTTCTTGGAGGTAGTGGAGGCGTTGGGTGGGGGGGGGGGGGGGGGGGGGGTCGTTTTAGGGAGTTCAGATCATTAACATTTTCTAGGAAGTCGTTCAAGGGCCCTAAGCTCCTTTTTAAGTAAGTAATAATGAGATGGAAAAAAAAATGATCTCCACGTGGTTTGCTGGGCCCCGGTGTGTGGGGAAAACAAGAAAAGACTCACTGCATTCCACAACAAGCATGTCGTAGGAGCCGACTAATTGGGAGCTTCCTTCAAAGTCGGAGTGCTTCAGTCTGAGCGACAAGGACCAATCAGCTGTGCACATATAAGCCAGTAAAACAGATACATGTGCAAAACCTAGGCCCTGCGCAAAGCCAAACCCAAATGGAAAAAAAAACATCCAGTACGTTTCACCGGAGTTTACATTATGTGAACAAACAAGTAGAAGGAGAATAGGGACAGTCTACTGAATCGTAAGGACAGTATAATTATATAAAGAGATGCATATACAGTTCTAAGAAAAAATCACTTTTGCCACTGAGTTTGCTGTTGGTTTCATCATTCTCCATCATGGACACTTCTTCAATATTATTCCGGAAGGTGAACAATTGTCAATGCTGTTATATAAAGTCTAACAACTATATCGAGGTCAGCACAACATATTTATTTGGATGACTTGGGAATATAATCTTCTCATCCTGCCACTCAGCCCTACAGCAATAGGCAGTCGCATCACACATTGAAGATTCCATACGACTGATTGGAGTGAGGCTGAACACTTTTGTTTCCATCTTGCCCTAGGCCATGGGCTTATTAGTCACGTGATTCTTTGGAAACTCTCAAGTGACCTGATTCCTTCAGAGACGTATCAGGCATCACAGCAACAGAACTGATTGCTTATGGACTGGTGTTACTCACTGCCTCGATGTTTCAACTAGAAAAACTCGAGCGCATACAGAATGAAGCTTTGCTGCTGGTCCTGTGATTGCTAAGAGACACCCCGAGTGTGTGCATGCGGCATATCCTTGCATTGCCGACTATTGCAGATAGGCTAAAGGTGCTGCAGTCTAAGTCATACCTCAGAGTAGCTGCAGACAAAGAACACCCTCTGTATAAAGCTCTGTTTGATTGCCATGGCTTATTGTGAGAACAACAAAATGAGTTCAGTTGGCGGAGAATTTAAAGAAATAACATCTGGATATTTTAGGCATAATTGTTGTTAAAAAACAATAATAATACAAATAATAATAATACTGAGATAAACTAGGTCTTAATTTTGGTGGCGGTGATTATTACGCTCTTCCAGGTTTTTTTATGTAGGATTAACACAACGAGGACATGAATCCAACCGTAGCAAATCCGAGACACGCCGTTCAAGCGTAAAACAGTTATATACTGTCATCTCTGCCATTACTTAATATGTACATTGACACCACGATGTTGTGTTGGAGCACCACTACAGTTACTTAACCTGTACCCCAATGTTGGGACACCATAAGATTTACTTAAGCTGTACCCCAATGTTGGGACACCATAAGATTTACTTAAGCTGTACCCCAATGTTGGGACACCATAAGATTTACTTAAGCTGTACCCCAATGTTGGGACACCATAAGATTTACTTAAGCTGTACCCAATGTTGGGGACACCATAAGATTTACTTAAGCTGTACCCCAATGTTGGGACACCATAAGATTTACTTAAGCTGTACCCCAATGTTGGGACACCATAAGATTTACTTAAGCTGTACCCCAATGTTGGGACACCACTACAGTTACTTAACCTCTACCCCAATGTTGGGATAGGGAACAAAACCATGAAATCAACAATTGAAGGATGGGAATCAAACAGGAGTAAATCCAAGAAATTTCGTTGGATATAACAGTTGCATTAGGACATCATTACAGAGAGTTGTTTCAGTATTTCAGGTGTTTCCTTCGCTTTGATGTAAAAAAAAAAAAAAGGAAAGCCCAGTGAGAAATCATAAGCGATATGTAGACTCCATAATAATGCCCAGGCATTATTGGTATGGAGAGACGATACATGGAGGCAGGTCTTGCTAATCAGACTGTAACACTATTGTCTGAAAATAAAAAAAAAAAAATAAAAAATGTGTCACATAGCAGTTACTTAACCTGCAGATCAGTTTTCGGATAGATGACCTATTCTGACCTTTTCTCCAGGCTATGCCGGCGTGGTGGGTAATGAACATGCAGACAGATTGCTGGATCCGCACTATTGGGTGGTGAATTGATACATAACAAGGGACATGTGGTCAAGGCTATTTGGAAACAAGCAACGGAATCAGTAGAGAAAGAAGATTATTATGGCCTGAAGAGAATGAGACACCTGAGTGTAACCAGAGGGTCTGGCCAGCTGACTACGCTCAGAGGAAAGGCAAGACGGACATATAACCAGGTTGTGAGCGGTAGCCTCAATATTGGAACTCCGCGATGGCTGCTGTTGATGGGGACGGAGCATGCATGGGCATGCCCCGAGTGCTGTGATGTCAGTTCTTGATTAAACTTAATTCATCTCAACTCGACCTTTATGAAAAGTCGACACATATGTTAGCCAGTATTCAAACATAAGGGGAGACAATAACATTGTCACAAGTTAGCTGCGTATACTTTACAGGACGACGCCAACATTTGTTGAATGTTGGTTGGTTCTACTAGACAATTCTAGGTTCAGTAGTTTGTCAATGTTACCTACATGGTTGACGCTCATATCGTTATCATAATCAAACAAAACAGGTGTATGCCAGATTACAAGTAGTTTGAGCTATCATAAGATGTTTGAACTATAAAACAGTTTTCATATCCCTTGGCCACAGCCGTCGACCACCACATATTTAATATACAAGGGAAATAATTACACACCGAAATATCGAATTAATGCTAACGTTCATTGCACAGTAGTTTCAAGAGAATATATACGCATAGTTGCATGCATAGTTTTAAAATAATGTGCACATTTCTGATATGATACTGCATTTCGTGCAATAATTATGCGTTCTAGAAATGTTCTATTGGTAACATAGATAAACTGGTAATATGTCAGTCTTTTTCTACACCAAAAACAAAGTATAGAATATACGGTGCTGATATGTCAGAATATAGGACTATAGCCAAATAACAGCTAGTTTTTATCAGGCACATTAAAGGGTGCCTTATAACTGAAAAATAAAATGACAATTGTACAGTTTCTTCGTCGCATGTGTAGTTTTGTGTTGCCGGGATATATCCCGGCTGCAACGATTTATCTTAAGGTGGTTTCGAGAGTGGTACCTAGAGCTCATTTCAGGAATCAATAAATGCCAAATTAGTGAACGTAATATTCGCCTTCAACCTCAAATTAAATCAAATGCTGGGGTTGATTCTGCAAACTCCTGTAAAGGATCCGCATCATCGCATTTTTTAAACTGTTTCTTCTTAGACCCGCGGGTTACGGTCCTGACGGTGCAAGATGTTAAAAAAAAAGCCTTGACTGGGTGCCATGTGAAGTGTTTGGAAGTAAAGGCAGCAGGCCTGGTGAAGACCATACAGAGAAATGACAATGACGTCAAAGAATGGAGGCAAAGAGGAGGAGAAGTAAGAAAGTGTACTGCGTATGAACACGGGCACACATTAAAAGCGAGTGATTTTAATTTAACAATAAAGGTCGACCCGGAGAGACAATACGGTTTTATGTAAAGGAAATAACCACGGTTTAATGTACTTATTTACAGCGTACTGATTTTTTTTTCCTACAAACTATTATAAAAGATTTTAGTCTAATTGTAACTGTTTTTCACTGCTGCCCTTTTGTTGTCTCTCTTTGGGGCAATGGGTCTTCAATCTGATGAAGCGTCGTGGCTGGTGCATTCACAA